GACATATTCACACGTTCTCAACAAGCTATATGAAGAATTGAGTATTGATCCTAGATTTGTGGAGTTGAAGGTGGTTATGCGGTATCTTATGAATGGGGCATATGTCACAATTCCATTGAATGACGACAATGCTCTTAGGGCTATGTGGATTGCTGTGACTCAGACTTCTTCTATCGCAATGCAATTGTACACTGAACAGGTTCCAAAGGAGCCAATTGTGCAAACTGATACCGGTTCCTTTCTGGAAAAGAATTATTTTTGTAGTATGGAGCAACCAATTTCCCTTACTAATCAAAGTGTGGGGATAGGCTCATTCACAAGAATGCTTGTTGATCCCGAATATGTCAATGAACATCTTTCAGAGATTAGGTCTCCGACCTCATTGCCTAATGTTGAAACCTCAACAAGCACACAACCACAAGCCATTCTCGATTCTCTTGACCCAAACAATGTTGATGTTTTGGGGATGTCGAGATGAATGATACTGATGAAGATGATGATGAAGTTGTAATTGAAGCTCGTGATAAGGCAATTAAAGATAGCGCTCCTACTACAGACTTCAATGAAGTGCCGCAAGGTGATCCACGTTTGAATAACTCATGGATGACTTGGTTAGGAAATGAGACATATAACACGGGTGGGGAATTTGAGGTTGGACAACAGTTTGATTCATTGCAACAACTGAAAGATGCTGTGAAGTCTTACTCCATAGTTAGAAATCAAACCATTCGAGTTGTGGAGTCAGAGCCAGAGAAATATGTTGTTGAGTGCAAGAGGAAAGATCAATGTAGTTGTTCGTGGAGGCTTAGAGGAGTGAAAGATCCAACACTATCTACTTTTAAAATTGTTCGGTACAACGGCCCTCATGCAAGTAATTGTGTTAGTGACATCGACTCCGTGGATCATAAGCTACTCACTTCTGAGTTTGTTTGCAATGCTCTTTTAGATGTCCTTCGTGTTGACCCTTCATTGAAAATCAAGACAATAGTGCAACTTGTGAAAGAGAAGTTTGAGTTCTCAATAACCTACAAGAGAGCATGGTTAGCGAAACAAAAGGCAATAAAACTCATTTATGGGATTGGGAGGGTTCATTTCAAGAGTTGCCTAAGTACATGCAAGCGTTGAAGGAATCAAATGCTGGAACTATTGTTGAGCGGAGGTTGTTACAAAGTACAGTACCTGGAACTTACAGGAGGGACTCAGCATGAGCGAGGTGTTGACTCCTTGGCGTGCAGGTAGTGTATTGCTTACAGTTATAGTTCTTACATTGTTGTCCCTGATGAGAACTAAGAATTATTATTAACTATTTTTATAGTTGGCTACGTGTACATCTTTCGTGTGCGCATACTGCTTCTGGACTCTCATACTATCGAGATGCGTTTAACCATCAGCAAGAGGACCAAGTATAATCGTTGTTTTGTTATGCATTGGCATTTGTTCATTGTAATAGTTATATTAACTTATACAAATAACATACTGTAGACACCCATTTGTGTCTCCCAAAAACCAAACCCAGTGATGAGTACCTTTCACGTCAAATCATAATCGAATGAAACGAAAGTGTGGAAAGGTCTAGTGTTGCGGAAAGTTTTATTTCTTTTCTTTTCTTTTCTCTTCTCTCTGTTTTTGAAAACTTTATTTTAAGAAAACAGCCAATCCAGTTTGGTTGGTCCATGATATGGGTCCAATAGTGGTGTAGTTGGATGGGGCTTGCAAAGACCTTTCCAACGATATATTATAAGCCCAATTCCGATGAATATTGAGGGAGTTATGGCCAATTTACTAAACTGGGCCCGGTTTGAGTTTTAAGTACGGCCCAATGATCTAGGGGAGGGCCTAATATGATTTATCATTCCTAATGTAATTAGGAATGGTTTTGGTCTTCTAGAACATTCTAGAAGGTCTTATCATTCTTAATTCAATTAGGATTCTTCAGAGTTTTAATTAGATCAAATAGCATTTTCGACTGAAATTATATCTTCCAGTACGGTAAAATTATCAGATTTTCGAAAACGTGTTAAAATCCGGTTTGGCGTCCAACCCCAGGCCTTGGCTCCTGGAACCAGGATTGGCGCCAGACGCCAGCCATTGGCGCCTGGCGCTAGCCACTGGTCCTGGCGCCAATGAGCCAGGGCTGGCGCCAAGTTAGTTTTGAGATCTTCAGACTCTGTTTTGATAAATTATCTTTTTTGGATGTTTTTCTCTATAAATATCGTATCATAAACTCCGTTTTCATTCACGGATTATAAATATTCAATAATCATCTACATCTGTTATTCACCAACTCTTTTTATTCATCAAATCGTTCATAAACTTCGTTTTCATTCATCATCTACAATCATCAATCGTCAACAATTGCTTTATGAATCATTGATCTTTTAGCATTCTTTCTAAACTTTGCTCTTTAATACAAAATTCCGCATTCACAATATCTTGATACACCTAGCCATATTCGAAGTTGCCTTCGCCCTAGACGTGAAAGGTTTTAATTTCTGAGGGTTTGGTCCCAAATCTCTATTTCAATTATTTTATTTAATTGCTTTGATTATTATTTTTTCCTTGAAGTTACTAACGTGTGTATTTTGTTATTAGAAAGAGGTACGAGGCATCCAAGTAAGTACTTTAATTGTTTTAATTGATTTATGATGTAGATATCATGTTTAGATTGTTATTATGATATTCCTAGTATCATGTCTAGGGTATTTTTAATGTTAAATATGATTGCTATGATGCCTTTTATTCTCTTCCTAATATTTATTCATGTTAGTATCATGTTAGGGCTAAAGATTTGATTTTTAATGCTTAGTGACATGCTGGGGTTTGTTATTAATCTTGTTAGTATCATGCCTAGGATCTTGCTATGCTTTAATATGATTATGATTATGATTGATATTATTATTATTAATGATGTTGATTATTTATTATGTTGCTTGATACATATTATTTTATATTGTTATTGCTTGATCACCTTTTATGCATGGTTCAAGGGAATTGATATTTGCAATCACGCTTAATAAGATAATTAATAATCTTGTTAGGTTAATTGTGATTATAAATTCAAGTGATCGCCAATAATAGTTTATTTGTGCATTAATATTCAACCAACGTAGATTAAACAGGTTTAGGGTTAATCCTATTGATTGCATGTTAGTCAGAAAGCGCACATGAATACGAGCAGAATAAAGTAGAGGCCTATTATTAGGGCAGTTCAATCTCTTTTAGGTTGGATTTGTACCATCATCCCCGAACCCTTATTTGGTTCATGACCTTATGGAGTTGACGATCTCTTGGATCGTTAAGGGGTGTAACCTTCACCTCGTGAACGGTTTACAAGTTCCTTAAAAACTTGTTGGCGACTCTTTTTCTCTATCTTCTTCCCTTTTGGACGCCGCCATACTTTAGTGTATGATCACAGTGGGGTTCAAGCTAGTGGGCTTTTAAAGGCTTGAAATTATTCCCTACACATACCTATTTTGGGAATTAGATGATTTGGCAGCCATATACCGAGGCGGTTATGGAGCGACTTCCGGATATTTGTCGCTCTGACATTCACATTTGGCGTACACGCGCCCCTCTTATTTGCTTTGACGTCGTTGAGTTCCACCTCCCAGATTGAGTCATGCGTTAGTTCGGGTTAGAGCAGCCGATCCCAGAGGTAGTAGACACGGACGTTGCTCTACACAAGAAGGATTGAAGGGGACAGCGTAACTGGGAGATTCGACATTCGGACCATGTACATGACTGGGGTCGACGAGAGGCATTAGTAGTCCAGGGTAACCCGTTCACTGGGACTTCTTCACTAGTCATGACAGAGTACATGGCTTGGTACCGTCGCATCACGAGGTCGATCATTACTCCACCTTCGCAGCCACGCCCCCCAAGTCATTACTAGCCATCTAGCTCTGACCTAGTACTTGTATGAACTTCATTTTATTTCAATTACAAAGTAGTTATTTCGTTTTTGAATTCATTGTACTAACATTAAAACTAACTTCAATGCAGGCACATGCAGTTGCTGATTTGCACGCGAAGCTATCGGGAGCTACTGAGACCATCTCTGATTTGCCACCAGACAAGGCTCTACCATTTTCCATTCAAATGATACAGAGTCTTACATCATTTTGTGGGCAGACCTTGTCTAGGGTGGGGCATTCACACCTTATTAAGCAGCCTCGAGTGTCCACCTCGCTATCTTCTTCTGCTTCTATTTTGCACACTCGGCCGATTAGTCCACCATCCCATCGTGGTGGTCATTCATCACGTGCCTTTCGTCCACCGACTCCCATTCGCTCTCCCTTGCATGCTCCTTCCCCCTCTCCCTTACATGGTCCTTCTCCCTCTCCTACAGTTCGACATTCAGTTGTCACTCCCCTTTTTCCACCTCCCCCACCCTCTCCTCCTCCTCAAACTCTACTTGTTTCTCCTCAACATACCATCGTCACATCTCCTCCACTAGTGCAACACTAGTATCAAAGAGTTCGATGGCGTGGAAATAGTAGGTCTCGGCTTGGAGTTGGAGTTGGCCTACATGATATTCCAGAGGATGAGACAGCTACATCACCTTCATCATCACTTCATGGGAAGAAGCAACGTACGAGCTAGGTGTATATTTTGGTACCATTGACATATGTTATTTTGCAAATGATTAGTATTTTAGACTTTGTTTATAATTAATATTTGATAAGTATTTGACATTGCCCTTAGATTACCTTAATACAATTTTGACTTCCATGGATTAGAATGTTTAAGTAAGTTGTTATTTGTGGTGGTTGTGTAGAAGATATGGTATATGGACTTTGCAGGCTGAAAATAGTAGGTTTTAAGGTTTTACAGGTACACTTGCAGGTTTTTTTTTTGGCTGATTTACTAATATTTTGTTTTAAAAAATTTTTACAGCAAAAACCGCTACTTGAAGTTGCGGTGTCTATTATATAAACCGCTACTTCAAGTAGCGGTTTTCCTCACAACACCGCTACTTCAAGTAGCGGTTTGTTGCTGGACCGAGAAAAAAAAACGGTTTGTTCTCATTAGCTTACGTGGACGGTACGGTGGGAATTAAAAAAAGATTAGCGATAATTTGGGAATTGTGTGTTTTCCCAACATTATTTAGGGAAAGGCTCATTATATCTCCCTTATTAATATACCCTTATTCATTTTTTTTTTCTTTTTTTTTACTTCAAAAAAAAATCTTTTTTAATGAAAGGTATAGAAAAATTGCTTCGTTTTTTAAAAAAAAATAATAATTAAAAAAAAAGAATTGCTTCTCAATCAAAGGGATAATAAAGTTAATAATATAAACTAATCAGATATTCACCTAATATATTGAAATCTTTTCGTATTTATCAAATTTAGGAAACTGAAATTTACTTATATTTTACCCCTTTAGCCTGCACGTAATTAAAACTGACTACCCCTTATATAGCCGCAAGCCCGCATTAGACTATCTTCCTAATTTTTCCCAAAAAAAATTGAATCAAATCCCTAATTGCGAAGTAGCAATTAATCAACCATTCAACAATGGAAAAGAGGAGTAAAAAAACTGGTGTTTTTGTTAACTTTAGAACTAAAACCATCATGAAGAAGAAAACGATAATTACGACTTCTCAACTTTTTTCTAGGAAACAAATTTCCCTTAATTTATCAATCTCTCAGTTTCTTCGCGAGGTCGATGATGTTGATAAAATGATTAAGGTACTTTTTTTTTTTTTTTGTATATATTTATTTTTTTGTCTTACTAAAATTTTTTTAGGGTTTCTTTTGTTACAGTTAGATTAATTCATTTGAGTAAAGAATACAAAGTACAATTTTACTATGATAATATGATATAATATATTTGTATATTTGCAATAACAATTTGTTTTATAATTTGTACGTCCACTATAGTACAATGAGGTGAATCAATTAAGGATTCCATGACCTCGTTAGATTTCTTTTTTAATATAATTTGTTAGTACAATTATTTTCATAAATTGTACCTCCAAAATAACGAGGTAATTCAATGAAACTTGAAGTGTCGAGTAAGGATTTCATGACGTCCATAGAACGTTGAAAATTTGGGACTAAGGCTTTGTCGTTTTTTTTTTTATTTTCTTCCTAATTTGTTCTTTGATTCGCTCCGCAGTCAGTGACGAGCAAGGAAAAAACATGGACGGTGAACCGAAGGGATATTACTGAGATCACATCATGCTGTAAATGTTGTGGCTTCTTGTTATCCCAAAGTGACACAGACATCCATATGTGCAAGAGTTATAGACTCTCCGAAGATCCTACAAAAAAATTACCAAGATATTATATTATCAGGCATTGCCAAGTTTGTCAAAGCTACTCATATGCAGGAACCAAAAGTTGGCATAAATTTCCTCCAGGAGAATCGTCTTCCATATCATTACTAAGATTTCTTCTGGAGAAGCTCGGTTTCTATTTTCGTGTACTTCGATTGATGTTGATCGATGCTTGGCTTGTGCAACCGAATGATCATACCACTGTCATCTCACTTGTCTTAAAGGTCCAATTCGAAGGCCCTGATGGTTCGAGGCTAGAAAGAAAGTGTGATGTTGTGTTTACACCAGCTTATATGAATTGTCCTTCTTGTTCAGATTTAATTGATGAAACACAACTGAGCTATGTTGTGCAACTTAGACAGTACGCTTCTCAAGACAAAACTTTTCGCGCTATAAAGTTACGTGTGCTGACCACACAACCAACACTTTACAACATTAAGAAGATGAAGCTTGCAAAACAAGGAGTGGATTTCTTATTTGCTACTAGAAAAGATGCCGAGAATTTGTACAACTTCCTCCTCACTCAAACACCTATTAAGCCTGATCAATTTCGCAAGAAATCTATGAAGTCTTCTGATCCTAACAGCAATAATCATACCGAGATTTGGTACATCTCAGCTGTGATCTGCCCTATTTACCTGTATGATCTTATACATCTTCCACAAAGTCTCATTGCTTCACATCATGTTGGACCTCTAGTTATTTGTATATCATCCTATAAGTTTATTAGAGTTATCGATCACTTAACATTGACTCGATGTCAGATACGTGGCAATGATTATTGGAAGGAACCTTTTGAGCCTCTAAAGACTAGCAGTGAACTAGTGGAGTATAAAGTGTTAGATGTGGAGATCGTTTTGAGTGAACAGTTATATTCTTTAGCAAATGTCAAAGTTGCACGGGCCTCAGATATTGGTAAGAATGGTACAGAATCTTTGGTTAAAACTCATCTTGGTAATGTTTTGAAGCGTGGGGATTATGTTCTTGGTTACGAATTGTGCAGTACGAATTATTCTGCTGATGTTGAAATGGAGAATTCTGTGGATACACTGCCAAATGTTGTTCTGATTAAGAAGAAAAGTGCAGCAGCTGAGCTCAATATTAAGGTTACTAGGCAGAAGGCAAGTCCAGAATATCAACAGTTCTTGGGAGATTTAGAGAATAATCCAGAAGCAATGTTCAATTTGTCATTGAATGAGAGGGAAGGTGAAAATCAAACCTCGGAAATGGTATCCATGAAGCCTGATAATTCAGAACTTGAATTGGAAGAATTGCTTGCTGATCTTGATTTGAGTGATGAGCAAGAAGCTAAAAATCTGTAATCTAAATTTTAATTCTAGAATATCTTTGCGAACTTTTAAATACATTGTGTGACTGAATTTGTTAATTTTTGTTTAAATGAACAATAAGTTTTGTGCAAGCTATATAAATTCCTGCATTGCATAATGCTGAATGACTATCAGAATAATCAAAACAGTATGCTTTTAACTGTCTAGCCAGATTAGGAAAAAAAAAAAAAAAAAAAAACCCTTAATTGTAAAAAACCTCAACAGAGCCCTTGTTTACTCATTTATATCAAGTTTAGCTTTCAAATAAGATAATCTTGCAACCACCTTGTGTCTGTAACTCAGTTTATATTAGCTTTCAGGGATGAGGCTCTTGCAATCACCCTAGGTTTTGCGATGACCCTCTACGTACACAGGGCAGAGAAACTTTTTTCAAGGTGAAACTAGGCTGCAGGTTCAGGTATTGAATAGATACGCGGTCTTATAGTAATAAAACGGAATGTGAAACTTGAGAGGCTAGACTCACAACACTTGCACCTAATACCTAAGCAGGCATGCCTTCACTTTGGCGGTTTGGCCTCCTAGAGTCATTTACTAAACACAGGCAAAGGAACCCTCTTATTCTTATTTCTCCTTGTCCCCCCCTCCCCCCCCCCCCCCCCCATCCTTTTTGTTTACGATTAAGTGGGGTGTTTCCGAAACAGGCAGACACCAAAAGGAACCTACTAATAATAGGTAATCCCCATCATAACAGCAATAACAGTACGTTGATACAAGACTTCAGGAAACAGACATCTGCAAGTCCTGTAGTTAAGTCATCTTAGATCCAACATATCCTAGATAATAGTACTCGTACGAAATTAAGATGTTTTTTAAGAGCATTATTGCTCAACATATAACGAAAACAAACACCAAACTATAGGCTTGTTGTTACACACCATACAGATAATAGCCCTAAATACACATCTTATCTAGTATCTACATATTGCTAGAAAAACCAATTGGCACATAAGTAGTAATCAAATTCCTTTTAAATCCTTATATCGTTAAAGTATCAATGCACTATTACTCGTCATTTCAAACTACCAATGTACAAATCATCTAACAATTCCACGATACATATTCGAATTTGCACAACAATATATGTAAATAATATGATCAAAATGAATCAGTAATGTTTTCTGTTTGTTACCTAGTTGAAGCAAATCTCCTCATTTAGCTCTGTTTGGAGGCAATCAGCTGTTTTTTAAGAGCTTCATTCTCTCTCCTCAATTTCATCATCTTCTGCTTCAGCAAATCCAACTGTTTGTCTGACGAAGAAAACTGTTGATCAGCTGCTTTCGTCTTCGAAACGAGCAATTCCTTCTCCAAATCCCTAACTTTCTTACTCAATTCCTTCTTCTCTTCCTGCTCTACAATTATACAATCCCTCAAATCCTCAATCTCTACTCGACTCTTCTCCTCCACATCCTTCAATCGATTCCTTAACGAAATCAGCTCATGATGCAGCAGATAAATCGTCGCTTCATCCGCCGATTTTTGACGCGAAATTTCCCCAATTTGAACCTCCAAAACCCTAATTTCTTCCTCGTGGTTTCGCTTCAATGATTCCACAGTTTTCCGATGATCTTCTGCAATTTTGAGTGATTCGGTGGTTAATTTCTGCAATTCCTCTTTCACATTGTGAGAATTTTCTCTGTGTTGTAATTGAAGCATAAGATTGTTGAGGGTTTCGAGATGAAGGTTCTTCAATCGTTCATTCTCTCTCCTCAAAGTGGAGCAGGTGAGCTCGAGAGATTGACGATGGTTGATTTCTGCATTGAAGTTGGATTTTAGGGTTTGGATTTCATTGATGCCATTTTCGAAATCGTTGGAGATTTGATTAGCGAGGGAGAGTAACTTCTCCATTTCTTCATCGCTCGTTGCCGCCATTTTTAATCCAGTATGGATTTTAAAGCAGTACAATATACATTCCTATAGACTATAGTCATTAGTCAATGGACTAGTTATTCAAGTAATCCGACATTAATTATTGGAGAAAATACAATTTTATCACCTTACTAAAACGTTTATTAAGTGGCAAAACTATATTATAATAAAATTGTTTTCATATTTATGCTTTTACAACTAAATTAATAATTATAAATTTGTCAGAGTTACATTACGACAGTATTCTGTCCTAAATCCGAGGATAATCTAGTTTTTCTCGGGATTTGTTAAACATCGCCCACAAATCTCTACATAAAGCCCACAATTATTTTTACTTTGACTCTTTTGCCCTTTTTCTAATTTTTACCGAAACCGTAATTCACTCTCACGAAGAATGTGGAGCTGGAGTGGATTGTCGAGGGACACCGGAGAGCCGTCATCGTCGCCGGAAAGCGAGATAATCCGGGGAAAAAATTACGAAAAGCAGGGGTGGCATCTGGTCAGGACGCCGCCACCATGGCGGTGGCGTCTGGTCGGGACGCCGCAACCGTGGCAGTGGCGCTTGGCAAGGACGCCGCCACCACGATTGTGGCGTCCTGGCCAGGCGCCGCCACCATGGCTGTGGCGTCCTGGCCAGGCGCCGCCACCATGGTTGTGGCGTCCTGGCCAGACGCCACCCCTACTTTTTGAATTATTTTTTTTATTTTTTATTTTTTTGTAATTTTATTTAAACTTTTTGTAATTTTATTTAAAGTTTTTGTTTTTTTTGTTTTTTTTTGTGGTTTTTTAACTTTGTTAAATTTGAAATTAAATATGTGTTAATAAGTTCAAAAAAAAATTGTTTTAATTTGAAATTATGTTTTAAATATGTGTTAATAAAATTATGTTTAATTTTGTATGTGTAAATTATATATAGAAATGAAATTTACAAATAAAAATTTTACATAATGTAAAAAATTTAAACACTATTTATTAACACAAAAAATTACCACATACAAAAAAATTAACACATATGAAAAATTAACACATAAAACAAAAAAAAATTAAACATTAACACAAAAAATTCCGATTTTCAAAAAAAATATATATATATTAGAAAAAAAAAACATTAACACATAAAACAAAAATATTAAACATTAACAAAAGAATTCTGATTTTCCAAAAAAAAAAAAAAAAAAAGTGGTGGGGCGCCTGGCCAGGACGCCCAGCCCCTGGTGGTGGCATCTGCTCCGGCCGCCGGAACCTGGGGGCTGGCGTCTGACCTGGACGCCCAGCCACGGCGGTGGCGCCTCTGGAAAACGCCACAACCGTGGCTAGGCGTCCAGGTCAGACGCCAGCCCCCTGGTTCCGGCGGCCGGAGCAGACGCCACCACCAGAGGCTGGGCGTCCTGGCCAGGCGCCCCACCACTTCTGGTTTTTTTTTTAATTTTTTTTTTTTTTTTAAAAAAACCCTGCCACCGTGAGCCGTCCTTCCCTCCGCCGCTGTGGCCGCCAAGTCCTTACCTTGCCACCTCGACATTGCCGTATTTTCGGGTTATTAGAGTGTGGGTATGGGTTAGATTTTTTTATTTTAGGTTTAGGGCAATAAGGTAAATTCAATATAGATTTGTGGGCTTTATGTGGAGATTTGCGGGTGATGTTTAGCAATCCACTTTTTCTCCCTGCAAAGGTCTAAGCTACTTTGGGAGTACTCGGTACATCAATATCCGCCTTTGGTTATTTACTTATTTGTATTGGTGTCTAATTTTATCAGTTTTCTTGATTCGTTGAACCTTAGAGAATATTGGATGAAAGATTATAAATATTGTAGGGAACTTTTTGGGCATCTAAAAGTTAGGGTCTGTTCTCATTTTATTGAGTTGAGCTGAACTAAACTAAACTAAACTAAATTGAACTAAGCTGAAGTGAGCAGAACTGAATTGTTTATGAGAGAAGGAAACTAGAAACTGAATTTAACTAAAATGAGTTGAACTGAACTGAGTAGAGCTAAACTGTAATTAAGCTGAAGAGAACAAACCCATAGTAGGAAATTTGTGGAGTATATAGTGTTGGATATGGAGATTGTTTTCAAGGGATGACGATTTTCTTAAGCCCTCGGGTCTCAGATTTTGGTAAGAGTGATAATGTTTTTTGTGGTGAAAACTCATCTGGGTAAATTTTGAAGCCTGGGGATTATGTTCTTGGACTCTTGGTTGCGACTTGTGTGAAGCGAGTTTCGCAGAGGTCGAAATGATGAATTGCAAGGATAAGCTGCCAAATGTTGTCCAAAGTATGAACAGTTCCTGGTAAATCTAGAGAAAACTCCTGAAGCAATGTTCAATTAGTCATTGAATGGTCGCGGCGATGATGGTGGTGAGAAGCAGAACTCAGAAATGGCGTCTGTAAACCCGGCAAATTCAGGATCTCACTTGGAAGATTTGCTGGCTTGCCTGGATTTGAATTGATTAAGAAGTTACAAACCTCTGATACATAATTACGAGGTTTGAATGTTTGACGTGAATGCCAAATACAGTATGTTTTAGGATCTTAGAAGTACATAAGAATTACGTCAAATACAGTATGTTTTAGGATATTAGAAATACAATGTAAGAATTATGGTATTTGTTGTCATATCTCCGAAAACATAATAGTATTATGTAGTAGTATGTTTTTGATTTTATACTCACTCAATGCATGGTGGAGAAAAGATGGAAAGAAGAGCAACGAGTTTTTTTTACTCGGTATATATATACACCTATCCAGCATCCAAAAGTTATGTAGTAAATCCAGAGCATTTACATGTATGCCGCAGTAGCGGACAAACATAACAAATTAACAATCCAAAAATGGAAGTTTAGCAGTCTAACCATCACAAAATTCAAATGTTGAGCACCCAGTCTTTCTTCCTTTCATCTGGCATACAGAGAAACATCTTTCTCCACAGAGGATCATCATGAATATACCTTGTTGCTTTCACGTATGAGGCTCCATCTATTCCTTCTAGCGAGTTCAGTGCCTCCATACATCTAACAACATCGTGAACTTGCACAGATTGGTACCCACAACCATCACCGCTATCAGCAACTGAATCCAAAGAAGGGGTTAAGCTCAACTTCTTACTGGTTTTTTGTCTCTTAGGAGTAATAGACTTCTCAACCAAGATATCTTTACATGGGGTCTCTGGAGTTTGGCGCTTCTCAATTCTCTTGGCTCTATAAGGATCACCATCTCCTTCACTGGAATCTCCTCTAATGTATTGGATTTCTGGATCACCAAATATCACGCATAATTTGTCATAATCTTTCAATCCTTTCTTTCTGAAGCTTTTTGCTCGCCGATATTTCTGCATCAAAAGAACAAATCATTCAAGTCCAAAATTAAGTTTGCTCATCAAACTAATGACATGATTATTAACAAATTTCAACTATTAATTGTAGAAAAAGGTTGAAAATCATACTGTTGATAATTTCCTCCACACAGCATCTGAAGCAATAACTTCTCCAGTTATCGAGTCATACACAATGTCTCTCTCCTGCAACAGGTTACTAAAGTCACTCCATCGAGCCCTCAGGTTGTGATATTTATTCTTCAACTGCAAATATGTGTATTCCTTCCCTGTTCTTTGTCTCAGAGCCTCTGCAATACTTTTCCATGCTGCATTGGCAAAAGTAGTCGCTTGCATGTTTCCCTTAGCAATTTCTTCCGCCATTATATACACAAATAGAGATTCATATTTTTCAGTCCAGAGAACTTCCACTCCATCGATTTTCAGTGTGTCATAGTCACCAACATCCTGGTTTGAGTCTGCCATTCTACCAGGTCCAGACACTTCCCTGGTATTTAAAGGTGTTAATAATTTAATATTACATATAAGACATTAAACATGCAATACTAACACAGCATATACTTTTGCTTTTTTTTATTATTATTTAAAAAGGATAAGAAAAGAAACAAATCCAAAAGAGAAACCTAGCTTTTGATGATGATACTGTAACACTATACATAGAACCCCTAAGGCATAACATTAAAGCCAAATTGCACCTGTGAATCCAGAATTTCAGTATAGGCAGGTCTTGGGCCAGACTCAGTAACTTATAGTGATGTGTGAACCATCAAATATCACCCACTGAAAATTAAAAGCCACTCCTTAAAAGGAAAAAAATCATCCCAACTCCTTCAACAATAAGCTAATGTGAGACCGATAGACCTGTGTCATTCAGCATACGGCAAACTGACAAACTAGTATAACTTTAGAGCTAAATCTCATTTTATATTCAAACACCAGTTATGTCATCTAGAAAAATGCAAAGTCCACATTCAAATCTCTCTACTAAGAAAATGATCATATTTTTGTGGTAGATTGGAACACTTTTATGCTAAATGGCCAGCAGAAGGCACTAAATTATGTCTACTACGGAAGTTGAAGATTCAGACAGGCATCAATGCCTAAAAGGGCATAGTCCAAAACATGTCCTAAGTTAAAGAGGTGAACTCAAACAAGAAAGGACAGCACAATGTTCAATATTTTTCCTTCAGAGCTCTTCAACTGACAAGATTGGAGTTTGGCACACTTGTAATAAACAGAATATCTTCTGACCTTGCCTATATCCCTAGACGCCAAACTAGGTTCTGAAGTGCAATTTTTTCACAATGATAATAAGATTAGAACCCTTCTCTGGCCAATAACAATCCATCCTGAGACAAATATCGTGAGGAAGCTTATCAACTACAACATGGGAATGTGACAATAACCCAAAGAGGGACCTCACGCTTAAACTGGTTCTGCATTAGATTGTTGGTACCGTTTCTGGCAACACATGCTCCTACAGTCCTATCTATACATAATTTGCCAAATGCAATAGTAATACTCACTACAGAGAGCATTGTAAATTTTGCCAGTACAAGCTCATTAGCATTACAAGGCACATATAAGGATGTCTAGGACAACATGGTTTGATCAATCTCAAAGAAAACATAAGCAAATAAGCCTTTCGATTGCGAATCTAGAAGAATCAAGAGTTAAACCTTACTATCATCAATCAA